TCGACCACTACAGAAGCTTACATTTCAAAACGAATCGGTACGCCGCCGGTTATATGTAATTTTTTGTTGGATAGACTCAAAATGCACTCAACATGCAATAATGTATAGTTAGACAAACAACGTTTACTACGATATTGTGGAAGTCCCGCTCATTTCCCACTAAGATCCGGAGTAATCTATCGTAATACAGATTACGAGGTAACAAATAAAAATTCTTCGTGTATACGTTCTATTATACATAAATAAAAATTAGCCTGAAAATAAGTGCTTTGGTCTCTGAGCAATGGAACCGCTGAGTTTTTACCCTTTTGCATCGCTAGGGCGGACCCCTTAATACATATTTTTAATTTTATTTCTAAGAATTTAAAATGTGTGCATATGTGCTCGTTTATTGATGCTAATTAATTAATTATCTATGTCAATCAATCTGAAGTCGACTTATCTACGTCACCACAAAATTTTAAACATAATAACTTTATGATGTATTTCGTTAGATTATAATAATTCTAGTAATGTTATTAACTAGTGATGGTTACAATTTTACGGTAAATAAATGAATATTCTTTATTGCACGTTAAACTAGATACAGTAACATAAAAGGCGGCCTTATTATAGTCATGTACACAATTTTAATACTAGAAACAAAGATAAACTTGTTTTGCCGTCATGCAGGCTAAAGAAGGTTCTATCGTCATTTATGGGTCAAGGTGTACACTACTATAACAAAATTCCTATGGAAATTTTAAATTTACCATTACCTAAGTTTAAAACCCATATTAAGAATTGTCTACTCAGTAAAGGATATTATACTATTAATGAATATTTAAACGACAAAACTACTTGGAGTTAAATATGGCTCATTTTTCATATATATTAAATTGTTAATCGGTGAGCTTCTTTGGCTACAAATGTGATTGGATTGACGAAAATACTGTTTTACTCTTAATATTGTGTAATATTGTAATGGAAAGTGACTTCAAATTTTAATGAAGTCATTTTTCAATCTTGACGCTCTGTATGAAATAAAACAGGGAGAAAAAAGCAGCCCTTGCCGAGTTTCTTGCCGGTTCTTCTCGGTACAAGGTCTCCCGCCGTAGATATACGAACCGTTGGCGTAGCTCTCGACTTTCACAAGTGCTTGTAACAGCCTAGACTGAATAAATGATTTTGATTTTGATTTTTGATTTTTTATTGCTAGGGTAGCAATCTCTGGGGTGCGATGTCTGGCTACCTCCTCGTGGTGCACCCTGGGCAACGTGGCCGCTCAAAGTATCTTTGAGCCGCCACGGCTAAAGTCAGACGACGGGGCTTGGCGGGGGGCGTCCTGGACATTCCGGGTAGCGGCCGTCGAGGGGGGGTTCTCTGGGTTTGGGGCTTCTGTGCCCTCCAGCATTTTGCGCATAGGGGGGTGGTAAGGTCCACCCAGGACCGCGTGTGGGGAGCCCATTCCGGGCTATGAGGTTGTTCCGTGTCGGCGTCCCGATAGTAAGCTGGGTAGCGGTGGCACGGATCGGTGGCTCGGTCGGCGTCCAGAAATTATTTCTGGTAGCGGCGAGGCGAGTGGAGGCGACGGGTCCCTGGTCCGCTAACACCGGTCAGGGACAGACTTCGCTCACTGTCGGCGAGCTCGTAGACCCATTCGTGGGAGCGAGGGGACTGCCCTTAACCAGGTGGTCCTGCGTGGAAGAAAACCACTATAAAAAATAACCTCAAAACCCCTACATTGGGTTCCGTGGTGTAGGGGTGCCCGTCACGGGTGGTTGGCAGAGCGTGTCAGCCGGCGAGCGCCAAACTTCAGATACCGCCCGACCTCTGAAGTTATGTAGGGTTATCCGGGTGTAGGGGGCACCGCCCGATGGACATGATACATCCCCCATCATCGTGGGAACAAAAATGAGTCTAAATTTACCTTATTATTTGAAAAAAAGAACGGAGGAGGAGAGAGAAAGAGGGTAGAGAAGAAAGATGAGAAAAATGAGAAAGTGAGAAAAGAGGGAGAGGAGATAAATAGGACAAGGAGCAGAAGCGCTAGCGCTTCCAGCAGGGAAACTAGCCCTGTCCTAAGCAAAGGAGAAATAGCCAAGAAAATGGTTAAGAGAGGGATTGATGAAGTCTTTGACTCTCCTGAAAGAAGTGAGGAGAGGAAAAGAGACGCAAAACTGCGGAAGAGTCAAAGGTTAAACTGTTCATCGCCGGAACCAAAGGAAACGGAAAGTGAGAGAGAGGAGAGTGAAATGGAAGAAGGAAGTGTCGCAGGAAGGAATGAGGAAGTCGGACCTGAAGACGCCTACAATATGTGCAGAGGAAGAAGAATAGAAATCCTGGAAATGACGGAGGAAGTCATCCAATACCTGGATGATCTTAGAAAAACGGAAGACTGGAGTGGGAGTGCTAACTGGGTTGAGGAGATGCTCCTAAAAATGAGAGAAGTAGCATCCGATGAGTGGGAAACTCAGTTAACGGAAACTCACATGCGGGAAAAGAGGGACTTGATTGAGCAAAAGGACTACCTGATCAAGGAACTGGTAAAAGGTAGCAAGCCTAGAAAAGAAACTACAGAGTCTGGAGTCTAGGCTGACGATCCTTGAAACAGCGGCCGGCCGAACAAGGGAGAGTGTCAACCCTGATCCGGCGGAGGAGCTGATTGAGAGGCTAGAGAAATCGCTCGAGCTCGGGGTGAGAATGAATGCCAGACTGGAGGGACTGGAAGAAAGACTTCTTCCACCAAAATCTTACCGTCCCCCACTGGCTTCAGATAAAAAGAAGAAGGAGGCCCCTTCCACACAAATCGAGAAACAGAGCGAGAGGGAGAAGTTGGAGATAGTAGCAGGGAAAAAGGGAGCCAGGAAAAAGAAAGAGAGGAAAAGGAAGACTGAGAAAGCCTCCCCAACCGAAAGACAAGCAGAGAGAGCTCCATAAATACAAAAAGAAAAGAAAAGAGGAGGAAAAAAGGGGAAAAAAGGAAGGAAGAAGCCTCGCCTGCTGCCACCGACAACGGCCGCCATCAAAATTGAAATAACGCCAGAGGCGGAGGCTAAAGGCATGACATATCGGGACGTCCTTTTAAAGGCGTCCCAAAATATCAGCCTCAAGGAAATGGGAATCACCGAGGGCATGCGAAACCGGATCGCAGCCACCGGTGCAAGGCTCTGGGAGATCGCCGGAGAGGGAAAAAATGTAAAGGCGGATAAGTTGGTGGAAAGAATAAGGGAGGTTGTCGGAGCAGAGGTAAAGGTGACGAGGCCCACTTTTTGTGCTGACATCAGAGTCACTGGCCTCGATGACGGCATTACGGCTGAAGAGATCCAGCTGGCGATGGCGGAGGAGGGAGGTTGTCCGCCTGATAAGATCAAGGTCGGTCCCATACGCACAGGCTTTGGAGGGCTGGGCGTGGCCCTTCTGAGGGTGCCGGTGGAGGCAGCGAGAGTCGTTGCGAGAAGAGGGACCCTAACAGTCGGTTGGGGAAAGGTTAAAGTGCGCACATTGCCCACACTCCTCATACGCTGCTTCAGGTGTATGAGGATAGGGCATCTACGGGCGTCACAGGCCGGAGAGCTGTGAGCGAACCCTCAACTGCGCAATCTGCGCAAGCGAGGGGAGGCCAGCAGGACATAGAATGGGCGGCAAGACGTGTCGTCCAATGGTAAGGAGAGTATTGCCGGTCCCCCGGTCTCGGGCACCTCGTGCGGAACCGGGGGGAACTGCCTCGGGCGAAATGGACGCGCAATAGCGCGTCCACTAGTCTGGGGTAGGTCCTCCCGGAGCGGCTCCACTACTCGCCGGCCCTCAACAGGCTTCTCCTTCTGAGAACCCTCGCGAGGACGGGGATATGGAGTGAGAGGTGAACGGGATGCACCCCTGCTCAGGTGAGGAGGGGGGGATGTCCCCATCTCGCCCGGCGGCGGCGGCGGCGTCCGGGTCCGGAGCCTGCACCTTGGTGAGCAGTGCGATGGGCTCGGGCGTCGTCGTCGCCGCCGGGCCGCGCGCCGGGCGCCGCCGGTCCGGTCATCGGGTCAGCCCTAGGGCCTATTCGGTGTCCGGGTCCGGCGGCGTCGGGAGCGCAGCGGACTGTGACATTTAATGCCACGGTCAGCGATGTAGGGATGGAGTCGGCTGCGGCTCGGCGGTGAGGCACTCACCACTTCGGCGCATTTATGAGTCGTTGGGGGGAGGAGCCACGTCGACCAGCGGCCGACACCATGGCAGTGGTAATGCTTCCACGTATCGCTCACAGGGCGCCAGAGGGGCGCCGGGGCTGCCCGAGGAGTTCAGCTCGAGGGGGAGGCCGAAGAGCGGTTTGTCGAAGCATTCATCAGACGGTAAAGGGAGACCAGATAGCTCAGTAGCGCATCTAGACTCCCTAACGGGGCGAACGCGGGGATGACAACCACACGTTCATTGCACCACCCCAACTGTCTGGGGAGGGTTCCTGATAACCACCCGGGAAACCTCCTGGCCGCAGAGGAAGGGATCATCTGCCGGGTCCCCACGGTCCGGATCTACCCGGGCATTAACTCTTAGGTACCGGGTACCGGACTACAGCGAGAGGGTGGTACGGGGGGTTTTGCAAGGTAGGCCCACTGCACTGGACTTCGTCCTAACGCGGTGGGAGAGCCCGGGACTAGCGCAGCCCTTCGTCTGGGACAGCGCGAAATGTTAAGGTCAGTTCCCCTCGGTAGAAAAAAATATAAAAAAGGGTAGCAATCTCTACCGTGCGACCCTATACTAAAGGAAACGACGCCAATTATAAAACTTAACTGCAGGTTAGTGCATCAGGAGAAAAACACACGAGAACATTTTTAAATACAAATTCATAGTCTTAAATATATATAATGAATTCCATGACTGCGCGCGTCTACTATCTATAGGCAGAGAGTTCCATAGTTTGCTTTGACTAAAAATAAGTTGGCTACGAAATCAGTATTGTGGAAAGAAGTAACTCTTTAGTTACCTCTTCCCACAATACTGATTTCCCAGTATCTTTATACTGCAGGAGGAAATTATAGGAAGACCGCAAATCTCGGATAGAATTTGTAGAGTGAAAGACGAACCGCAACTTGAGGTAATGCGGCATGTGAGGGTGCAACAGGATGGAATATAGGAGTGATAGTCTCTTCTACGAGAGATAGATAGCCACTGAAGTTGGGTTCGATAGTCAGTAATATGATCATAATTACGTAGACCAAAGACAAAACGGATACACAAATTCTAAAGTTGTTCAAATTTATTGTGTGGTGTGCATCCAACCTCGAGCGGCATTCTAAGAAAAGTTTGTGCCTGCGTTTCGTTAGGAACTCTGACGTTATACCAGACCCCTTCAATCCAACCTTAGCAGCCCAAGCTTTATCACGATCTCGATGACTTTTGAATTTAATGATAATTGGTCGTGGCTGGAAAGAAGTTGTTCCCAAGCGGTGTACCTCGCTGAGATTCTCCAGCTGATTATGGAGCAAAAGGTGTTGACGAACGATATTCACTGCTACTTTTGGAGAATCTTCGTTTGGTTCCTCTGTGACACCATGTGAAAGGAGCATTTTTCCTCTACACCTCATCTCTATATAATCATACTGCACTGCCAATATATTCACCTGCTTTCGTAGAGCAGCAATAGAGTTCATGATGAAAGTAGGAAATGTACTGAAGCCTGCAGACAATGTTGTCATTGTTTCGACTCTTGATGTAGCTATTTTCTCAGTTAATCTTCAAACAAGGTCATACGCGACTGTACCATTTACGCCAAAGCCTTCATCGTACATCTAATACCCTCCATGATAGTCCAAATTAGCGTTGGTGCTAGTTAATGATAAGTGATGAAATAGTGTTTCATACGTTTCAGGAAAGTGATGTTATGATGCCTACAGCACGAAACTCATATAAATTACTATTTTTGTAATTCATTTTAAAAACCAGTATAAAAACGTGTATTTCATCTTCAAACTAGTTACCCGCCGACCAAATCAAAAAAATGTTCTTGAATATGAATCGACGTTAAAGTATAGTATACATATAACCACCATTAGGCATGATGATTTTCATACACATAGCATACAAAACTTTCATCTCAAACTCAACAGCGACAATAAAAAATCTTTAATTGAAGTGGAATTCATGATGAAAGCAGGTCGACGTTTCACTTATCTTAAAATTAGCAACTACATTACCTCTCAAGTCACGGTAAATACGAAAAAATCTAATGTTTCTAATGTCTCCGGGTCCCTATTATGTTCATTATTTAAATGGAAAATTTATTTCATTATGATATTGAAAAAAAAACATTTTATTCATTTTACCATTTCAAGTGAATTTTGGTACTCGTTCACTATTTTGAATTAGATATGTGTTTACGGCTTATAAAGTTATTCCTAACCTGAGTCCGAAACACAAATAAAAATTTCCTAAAGTAACCTAAAATAATAGCTGCCGATAGAGTTCCGCAGGGTTTTACATTAGGCTCACTACTCCTACTTCACAGTTTAGCACGCGTCAATATTGAGCCGGTCTAGATTGTTTGAAATGGAGCTACTTATATCATAGACATTCTTTCCAAAAGTTTATTATTTGAATATTGGCTTTTCTAACACAACGTTAATACGTAACAGTAGATGCATAGGAAGTTTTGTTAGCACACACTAATCTTACAGCAACGAATGGAAATATAATATAAGTTTAAAATTGAATCTATTGTTCATAAATAGATAATTCAATTGTCTTAGATTTTGACTGAAAATGAGAAAACATGTAAAAGAACCAATAACTGTGTTTTTTTGTCATTAATATTTGTTTTTAATGCTATAATGATTCATTTTTTAAAGTAATTCATGAATTCAAATAAAATAGTATCGAATTGAAAAATAGTGAAGCTATTGGATGATTATTCCAACCTGCTGGCCGCTCGCAGTATCAATACAGAAGTCTCTTTGTATTGATTCGCGCTCTCGTGTGAAGGGTTGGTTCACTACCTACCTGTTTTAATATTAGTAGAAAAATACGTCTGCTGCAAGTGTCATCGAGTTATACGAGTATTTAATCGTACTTCTAATAAGAATTCAGATTTTAATTCCTCAACCCTATGACTGGAACATTAGATGACATTCAAACCACCACCCTGGCCTAGTGGACGCCGGTTTCATCGAGATTCTGGGTTCGATAGCCAATGTTATTAATAAACTGTTCTATATTGTCACGGTTAGGGGTGTCGCAACACTTTCGCAGTTTTAGATTAAAAAAAGAGAATTGCGAATAATCCTTACCTAATGGTAAAGCTTTTCGTGGATTAAACAAAAAAACATTGTTTATTCTTAAGGATAATTTCGAAGCGGCGAAGTCATCTGAATTCTGTCAGACAAGATACATATTGGGTCTGGCTAATTTAAAAATCAATAAATGAAAATATTTCATTAGAAAATGTAACTCGTAGAATACAGTCGAAGGTGTTTCATCTAAGCGGCCATGTGTAATTTAATTCTAACCAATCCCTCTACATTTTATCCCAAGTGAAGGCTGGATCCGTTTTAAATTCACCGACACTGATCAATACCACTTAGGTTTGGGATCGGCCTTACCCTTTGGTACTTCTTAGTTCAATTGTATACCAAGTAGTGTTGTATACAATACATAAGTATTACTAATGCACTTACGAAGGGGTCTAGTCGCAGAGTTTAGCGTAAACTAAGAGATGAATGTTCTATATAAGAGTTATGATAAATGATTTTTTGAATGAAATGGGGCCTTCTTATTCAAATTAATGCCATAGTCAACTTTTGAACTACATAGGAATTATCTGGACTAAATCAAACCGATTTGTTTTCAAAACTCCAATCCATAGGCTCTCACGGATCATGGCCATCACCTGTGCCCTTGTGATAGCCACCCATGACATTCAAAAGAGTGTTCCAAATACTTTGTTTGATCTAAAGACAAAAAACACACAATTGGACACCAAATAAGATCGATAAAAAGAAAACCACTTTACTAGTGGAGTGGAAAACGTAAACCGTAATGTATCTACGTTAATTTGCGACGAGAATTGTAAATAACAGAAGGATATAGTGGATCGATCTGTAGTTAGAAAACGTCGCTGTGAGACAGAAATAGAATCTCATAAGTATTCCATAAGTTTAGAGTAACCGTCTTCATTATACACCATAACAATACACTTTTAAAATTGGTTATTATTATTTTTTAGCTGCTCCGTGATGAAGTAAGTTGCTGTCCAACTTACTTCATCACGGAGCAGCTTAGTTGGACGCCTTTATAGCAATCTGTTTTAAGTTGTTTTTTTGGTATAGTTAATAAGATTGAGCACATTAACATGTATAAAATTAGTTAGGAGGGAGTCCCTCTTAATGTAGGAGTCGAGTGGGTTGGCTCGGCCGCGACAGACGCTTACAAGTTTAATTGTGTTCAGCGACAGTTTACAAATTTAAAGTGGATTTATGAAAGCGCCGGCCTACCGCACCAGCTAGACAGTGGGCGTTAGTTTATAAATACGTCTATTACTATAATTCAGAAAACTGCAATTAATATTTAAGCTTTTGATCGATCTTTTGTCGTTAAACGCAAGTAGATGTTTTTAAGCTAACATACAGATACTGTAAATTCAGGACATGCAAAGTAGGCAGCTTGCTCAATGGTAGATAAACATTGACATTGACATTGAAACGGCAGACAAAATTAAATGAAAAATGACTTAATGTCGATGAAATAGGAGTGAAATGATTTATGAATATTTTACATAAAAACGTCTGTTCAATCCATCTGTACGTATTTGTGATATTGTTTGAATATTGATTGAGTACTTCCAGCACAGTTAATTTTATTATTTATTTGTTAAGGTTGTTAAAATCACACAGTTCCCTATATAATATTAATCTATATAATAGGAATAACTCTGTACGCACGTTACTCGCTTTAGTTTAAGTGGCTTAAACAATTGAATAGCAAAACAATACTTGTTTATCACTGGGCAACATGTTTTGGTTTAATAATAGCTCTGAAAAACTAGCGACGATTCAAATGACAATAAAATTACTTCACCCCTTTGAGACGTTATGTTTCCATTTTGAGTAACCGCAGCGACGGCAGCGAGGTGTACTTGAAAGAGGATGCCTACTTTATAAAGAAACCTTCTAAATATGATTTATGAAGAGGCTTTATCGTTCTACCGATAATGACAGCATCAGGGCTCCGTAACTTTGAAGGATGAGTGGGTATTTTTTACTGGTCGCCTCTCGCAAGGAATTAAGTTAGTACCGACGCTCCCCCCACCCCCCACCACCAGGATGCTATTTACGACGAACTCTTGTTTCGATGAAATCAAATAGAATTAATTTTTATCCGAAATCCAATAGAATTTGTTCGTCTTCACCGTTGCCTTTTTGTGCCTTCATTATGTCATTATGATACTTAATATACCCATTTAATTTTATTGAATATAACGGATCTATAGAATTTTCTAAACTGGAAAAAAAAAACAATTTCCGCAAACGTTTTTAAAGCTCTTAATTTTTTAGTATACTATAGTTGAATTTAGTAAAGGGATTCCTTTTCAGGTCTTCATAATTCACAATATAATATTGTACTATTTTGTATATAGATTTTTTTCTACAAAGTACAGCCACAATAATAATAGTTAGACTGACACACATACACACAGAACAATGCATCGACTATGATATATTATTAGGTGTATTTAAAACTTAGGTTAATTTAAAGGTTTATTATTCTTAATTATTATTATAATTATTAATTATAATACAACCAATTAGTAAAAAAATTCATTAATTCCTTGATTCAGTTAGTTGTGTTTAAGAGCGTAAGCGGTACTGTTTCATACATTGAGCATATACCTACTGACTAAGCCAATGTTTGTATGATGAATGTGAATGTATTATGTATGGTCCATATATTAGATGGATATACGATATATCCACTTATCGCATGTTTTATTCATTTTCCAGAGCCTTATTGTTTTTGGGACTAAATGATTGATATGAAACTTGCACAGTAAAGAATGTGTGGGAAATGAAATATGTAAGCATCATGCACACTTTAATGTAAATAAAGAAACACAAGACGAACCCACCCCAGATAATGGGGATCGTTACTTTAAAAAAAAAAAAATTTTTTCAGACGGGTAGATTAAATTTGTGTTTTTTATTTTTTGCGTAATCCATAAGTTACGGCGATATATTCAGTTGAAAATAACACTTAACATCAACTATATGTATATTCTCTACATAGTTGTGACGTAGTGAGCATCCACGTTATTGTGCCACTAAATTGTATCGTTGCCCTGTTTTTTAAATGTGGTGTACAATAAAGTATTCATTCGTTATTCTTGTTAACTTGAAGCGTAAACGCCGAAATCAATTGTAAAACTAATAATTTATTGTATTAAAAACAAATACCACAAGCTAAGTATGTAACGGTGTGCCGTACCACCGTTTATTTCCCTAGGTTTCAGCATGTAAATTTTTTGTCTTTTAATATTCAACATCATTACTTTTTATTATTCATCTTTCATAATTTAAAATTTTTACTAATCCAATATACTCTTTATGGATGTCAGTTCGTACAAAATTCATCTGTGAATAACATCTAAATCAACATATTTTCGTATTATATCGTATAAATTTTAATATAAAATTTTAAAATAATATAA